CTGTGGTTTAACCCACAGCGCCACCCGCATACTGGCAAACGCTTTCTTGACATTCCTTGTGGAAATGACACCCCTCCCTGCCAGGCAACTTTCCCCAAACTGGTGCCCTTCAGATACTTTGCTGTTACTCTAGCTGGAGCTGATGGGAGTTTTAATTGAGAAAATTGGGAGGGTCCCAGATTAAGGAAGCGAGGCTGCCCCAAGAGGTATCCTCACTGTGATTCCCTAAGCGTTGTCAATGAAGGGGACCTTCTCAGTCGGTAGAGCACGAAATGCTTAATCTCGGGGTTGTGGGTTCGAAAGATCCCTGCAGTGCAGGGGGTTGGACTAGATGACCCTCGTGGTCCCTTCCAACTGTGCGATTCTACGGGTTGTATTTGCCCCATCCAAAGGAGAAAGGAACAACCCTTCAGTTCCATCCACATCCACACACATTACAAACTTTGCAGCTTAGCGAGGATCCCTTTGGTAAATCTGAACTGGTACAGTGGTACCTCGGGTTGCATGCACTTCAGGTTACACACTCCGCTAACCTAGAAATAGTGCATCAGGTTAAGAACTTTGCTTCAGGGTGAGAACAGAAATCGTGCTCCGGCGGCACGGAGGCAGCAGGAGGCCCCGTTAGCTAAAGTGGTGCTTCAGGTTAAGAACAGTTTCAGGTTAAGTACGGACCTCCGGAACGAATTAAGTACTTAACCCGAAGTACCACTGTATACAGTTCATGTCTAAGGTCTTGCAAGCATTCACAGCTGAGCATTTTTCAGCCTGCAAAATGAGGGCAATGTCTCCGCAGCTGAGGCTACCAATGTTATTTACATTTATAAGAGGATTTTGTTTCATTTTCAAAACTCTGCTCACATTCTCCCACCCACAAAATGATAGTGACCTAGATGATTGTGTTGGTGGCAGTGGGGAAGGCTTTCCTGTAGCATGAGCCTTGACTCACTCACTTGAGCTGCCTATATTTCTTTCATTAACCAGGAAGTACCTGCGTTCCACCTGTAGTTGCTTAGCGCGGGGAGAAATGCACTCTGCACATGCCCAAAGACACCCTGCTGTTTCACATGTTCAGGGGCAGAGCCTTTGCATTCAAAACTTGTGTCAAACGAAGTCATGCTGGTTTTCATCCACCTATAACTGAAAGAGATTCGGTGTTAGCAGTTGCCCAACAGACTCTGGGGAAAAAAAACCACACACACAGAAAATTTATTGGCAGAAAATCTCCAGACATGGACAATCACAGTGATTTAATGCAGTGGTTTTTCCTGCCGCTGCAAAGATTTGTCAGTGGGACGGTAAGAAACTTGGCATGCGATTGAAAGCCCAAAACAGCTGAGCCAGGAATGCAACTTGCAGAAAACTTCTGCTCCTAATGATGTGTGCAATTCTCCATTATGCCACCAGGTGGAGCTGTGGGTATGGTTCTTGCCCAGCCAAAAGGACTGCATTCTTGGCACCTGCCCTCCAGATGTTGTTGGACTACAACTCCCATCATCCTTCACCACTGGCCAGGCTGCCTGCAGCTGAGGGAGCCCAACAACTGCAGGAAGGCCCCCAACACAAATGCATGGTGCAAAATTAAAAAGTGGGTTTCCAAATGCATGTTTGGGCTGAAGGTCGTCTGAAAAAGTCATTATTGCCATATAAAGTTGTGGTCGTTTGCAAGATCTCCTTTTTCATAACTTGAATTCATTAGTTTGAGTCCTACCCTCCAGAGCAGGAGAAAACAATCTTGCTCCATCTTCCATGTGACATCCCTTGAGCTATTTGAAGATGGCTATCCTATGTCCTCTCAGTCTCCTGAGAGCCAGTGTGGTGTAGTGGTTAAGAGTGGTAGACTCGTAATCTGGTGAACCGGGTTCGCGTCTCCGCTCCTCCACATGCAGCTGCTGGGTGACCTTGGGCCAGTCACACTTCTCTGAAGTCTCTCAGCCCCACTCACCTCACAGAGTGTTTGTTGTGGGGGAGGAAGGGAAAGGAGAATGTTAGCCGCTTTGAGACTCCTTAAAGGGAGTGAAAGGCGGGATATCAAATCCAAACTCTTCTTCTTCTTCCTCTTTTCCAGACTAAACATATTCAACTCCTTCAACTGTTCCTCATCAGGCTTGGTTTCCAGACCCTTGGTTGATCTTGGTTGCCCTCCTCTGCTCACCTTCCAACTTGTCAACATCCTTCTTAAATTGTGGTGCCCAGAACAGTACTCCAAGTGTGGTCTGACCAAGGCAGAATAGAGCGGTACTATTACTCCAAAGAATCTTATCGGGAACAGTTGAGGAAGTTGGGTATGTTTAGCCTGGAAAAGAGGAGACTGAGAGGAGCTATGACAGCCACCTTCAAATATCTCCAGGACTGTCACATGTACAGAAAAAGTTTAATGCTCCTCAGATTGTGGAAAGTCAATTGCAATTCCACTTGGAAGAACAACAATTGGATTACACTAGGAGCCACCTACATGGGATGCGGGTGGCACTGTGGTCTAAACCACAGAGCCTAGGACTTGCCGATCGGAAGGTTGGCGGTTCAAATCCCCACGACGGGGTGAGCTCCCGTTGTTCTGACCCTGCTCCTGCCAACCTAGCAGTTCGAAAGCACATCAAAGTGCAAGTAGATAAATAGGTACCACTCCGGCGGGAAGGTAGACGCCGTTTCTGTGTGCTGCTCTGGTTCGCCAGAAGCGGCTTAGTCATGATGGCCACATGGCCTGGAAGCTGTCTGCGGACAAACGCCGGCTCCCTCGGCCTATAGAGCGAGATTAGAGCGCAACCCCAGAGTCATCCACGACTGGACCTAACAGTCAGAGGTATCTTTATCTTTACCTTTAGGAGCCACCTGTCTGGCAGTTGTTGCAATGTATTTATGTGCTTTCTGAGCATGTACAAAGTACAAAATAACTTTGCACGTTCCTCTTCCCTTGCTACGCAAGAAATCCTTGCCAGTGAAGAATCTGCGGCAGAATCTCAGGGATGGAAGTCAGGTTTTGCCTTCACAGCAAGAGTAGTAAATGGGAGCCATTCATTAATGGCTCTTTCTCTGGTGACACCTTGGGGGTGGGAACTCAGCAAAACCTCCTTCCTCTGGAGAGACCCCAGGCCCTGAGAAAGAAGCCAGTTCCTGCCTGCCTGCTCCCTAGCCTGCCAAGCTTGGGAGCTTGGTCACGGCAAAGTGTGACCAATCTCTGGCACCCCGGATTTGACATGAGAGGTGGATGTCCTGGGCTCAGAAAACTGGTCCTAGAGCCCCACTCAAATCAAACCCTGGAGAATGCCAGGTTTGGTCCATAGCAACAGCCTTCGGGCCAGGATCAGATCCAGGAGGCAATATTTTATGTTGCGAACCACCATGTGATCACAGAATAGAGTTGGAAAAGACCTTGAACCCAGGACTCTTGAACCCAGGACTCTGAGATGTAGAGTCTCCTGCTCTACTGACTTGAGCTATCCCAGCTGTCATCTTTGGATGAAGGGCGGTAAACAAATCTAATAAAATATAAAAAAATAAAAGGGAAGGAGAATGAGTAGCTGCAGAGGAGGGACACTGGACCTTGGCACAATGGGCAGAAGAGGAGGGTTTTCTTGCGCACAGAGACAGAGAAAAAGGTGGCTGCAGAATCCACTTTCTCCTCTCCTGTAATTAAGCCACGCACCGCGATCGGGACAGGATCGAGTCCTGGCGCCGCGGAGACGCTGGTTTTATGGAGTGGCCCAAAGCGAAAACCCTGGTGTCTGTGTGGACAGAGTGGAGTGGGGGTGGGCTGGAGGGAGACCTTGCAGCAGCAGTGTCTCGGACACACCGCAATTCTCTCACCCTCTCAATACTGCAACACGTGTGTGTTGTGCGTGTGCAACACGCTTCCGTCTCCTCCCTCCCCCGGTGCAGAAATCCTGCAACTCCCCGTCATCGGGGAGGTGGGTGGGGGGCGGCTTCCTTTACCACCCGGCAAGAACCCTGTGAGCTCTCCGTCCATCTCTCTCCCTGGCGTTTGTGTGTGTTAACAGACTGCAGCAAGGAATGCAGCGGAAACACTGCAAGGTGTGCGTGCACGTGTGGGCGCGCGCTCGCAGCAATCGCAGCGCGTGCCGTTGCATGCACGCCACAACATTCCTCCACGAATCATAATAGTGTAGTAGTGGACACCCGCAGGAATAGGCTTTGGGGGTGGGGTGCGCGCGAAGTAAAATATTTAAAGTGGGGCGGAGGGAGGGAGTTTCCATCGCCTGAACCTTTCCCCTCGCCTCTGCGCTACAGCAAACTTTCTCTCTTTCAAAACGGAGGCTGGTCATTATTATGCTTCCAGTTTATTACCTGCCCTTCACAAGGGGGCGCAACCACAAAAACACAGCCGTGGTTCGTTCATGAGGGCAGTTGCCCCCCCGGCCCCCCCTGCACGGGCCTTGGACTGCCACGGAGTTGCAATAGCAGTAGGAACAGTGAGAAATTCGAAATTACACCGTGCGTAACCAACGCACAAGTTGGATACGGTTACCCTATCGCCTGCGTGCGCGCCATCCCTACTTACTAGTAGCCATCCCTACTTACTAGATTCGCAATATTCACAATTCTCTTGCTCCGGGAGTTGCCCCGGCTGGGGAGCCCAGGCTGCGGCCGGAGGAGCCACCTCCCGCTCCCCCCTCTGCAAATCGCCTTCCACCCACGAGGTCCCGCACCAGCAGCCTGCACGAGACCCCCCACCCCACCCCCCTAAGCAGCTCGCCCTTCCCCGGACCCCCTGGAGCGGCAGCTTGGCGCCGGGCCACCCCGGCGCGCGCCCGCGTCCGGCGTGGTCTTCCCGGAGCCGGGGCTGCAAGATCCAGGCGTCGCCTCCCGCAGAGTCCTCTTCCTCCTCCTGCTCCGACCTCACCAGGGACTTCTGCTTGCGCAGCCCTGGCGGTGGGCAGTTTCTTCCTGGTGGTGGTGGGGCGCGCACCACCCACCACCCCTCCCTCCCCTCCGCGCGTCCTCGTCCCTGCTTGCCTCCCTCCCTCCCTCCCGCGCGCCCGCCCGGCGCTTAATCCGCCTCTCCGCCCTTGACACGCGCGCCCAGGTGGCGCCAGGAGACGGAGCCGAGCGCGGCGCGCCGCGGAGAGAGCGCGAGAGAGGCTCCGCCGGTCCCCGGTCCCCGGTGGCAGCATGAGCAGCAGCAGGGCACCGGGGGAGACGGTGGCGACGGCGGCCTCTTCCTCCTCTTGCTCTCCGCGTCCTCCTCGTCGCCCTGCTGCTCCGGATGCCCCCGCAGCCCGCTCCTCCTGCGCCAGGCGGGGCGCCGCTGCGCGCAGCTGATGGCGACGGCGGCGGGCCGGCTGTGAGCAGGGCGATCGCGGGCAGGACTAGGCGGGCGGCAGCGGCAGCGGCGGCGGCGGCAGCGACCATCCCTCGGCGGAGCCCTCGGATGCGGGGAGACCCGTGCAGCCCGGAGCGATGGGAGAGTGGACCATTTTGGAAAGGCTGCTGGAGGCTGCGGTGCAACAGCATTCCACCATGATAGGCAGGTGAGAGAGAGAGAGGGCGAGCCGCCAAGAGGACCAGCCGCTTGGCGAGACCGGCGGGCAAGGAGAGCGAGCGCAGGGAAGAACGGACGACCCGGCAGGATCTGCCCCGCGCGTAAAGTTGGGAAGGTGGCTCGGTTAGGGCTGGGAGCCCGGACGCCTGAGTCCCAGAGGGAGGGTCTCTGGTGGGCTTCTGCACAGCCAAGGCGGGGGGCATGTCCGGCAGGGGCGGCTGGCCATTGTAGGGGCCTCGGGGCAAAGACAGAAGCTGCAGGGGTTGAACCACAGCTGCTGCTGCTTCGCCTCCCTGGGTGCCCAGCTGGGCCTGGCGTCCCCGGGTCGTTTTCTCCGAGGAAGGGATCTGGTCTGGGAAGCCCCCTTCAGGAGTCCTTGGCTTGGCGAGAGTCCGGCTGGTGCGTTTTTACGCGGAGGGTAGAAGCGCCGCGTCAGGTTCCCCCTTCTGCAAGGAGAACCCGGAGAGCTGGTGCGGCTTGCCGGAGGCGGAAGGATGCTCTCTGCGCTTCCTCGCCGCCGGGTCCCCTTCCCTTCCAGCGCGCGGTCCTGCCGGGGGCAAGTGGCGCAGGGATTCCCCACCGCCGGGTCTCCGGAGAACCCTGCAGCGCCGGAAAGGCTTCGCACAGGCTTCCCCCAGACTTAATAGCTCCTTCTCTCAGATGCCGGGTGGGCCGTGTGTGTATTAAAGTCAGAAAGAGCTATGCAGCGAGTCGGGTCCATCTAGTTCAATATTGCCTACACACTTTGGCAGCAGCTCTCGAGGGTTTCACGCACGGAGATGCCGGGGGATTGAACCCACGACCTTCTGCATGCCAAACAGGCGTCCAGCTCTTGAGCTACAGCCCTTTTCCAGAGGTGCAGACATTCTTCCCCTCTGTATTGGAAAGCTTGTGCCAAACAGACGGTCTAAAACAGAATCACCCAGCCAGGCGTCTGGAAGATTGTTAAAATTGTTACCAGAGTGGCTTGCAGAGTTAGGAAAGGCTGGTGGAGTAACCCTTAAGGGGCAGACACGCACACCAGGGTAAAATATATCAGCTTGGAAGCCTAGCTCTCTAGTGCAGAAGAGAGGAAGTTCCTACAGATGGGAACGGGGTTTGCCAAATCTGGAACCCTTATCCCTTCCCGCCAGGGAGGAAACTTATGGGCAGGTGGGTTCTTTCGACTTGAACCAAGGGCGGCTGGACCTGAGACATGGCATTGCCCGAGACATAATGTGACACAGCATCACACCTGTGGGTATTTTACAGGGTGCCCGGACAGGTCCCTGCTCCAAGGAGACTGCAGTCTATAAGTTTCCCCAGCAGCGGGAGATGCAGCAGAAAGAGGGGTGGGAGAGGCAGGTGTGACCCACAGAGGTGTCTGTGGGGACGGACAGAAAGGCAGGCAAAAGGTCAATGGGCATGTGCAGAGTGTTTGCGACCCGCAGCAAAGCAGCTGCTTCATCAGAGGGCTACCCCTCAGACAGGTTTATCTTTTGAGAAACCAAACAATACACAGACTCTGTAAATGGGGACTGGCCTAAAAAAAAGAAAAAAGGAAAGAAAGCGTGTGTGAAAGAATAGAGAGACAACAGGTTTCTGGCAGGCTGATAATCGCCTCCTTCCAATAACTCCGGGGGCCTGCCGCATCCTGCAGGACTACACGCCCCCCCCCCCAGTCACCCCTGCTAGATGGGGCTGGAGGGCCAAAGGTTGCCCCCCTCTGTTTTAAGGGATATTTGGGGTGGCCTCATGAAGCCACTGTGTCTCCCTAATCTGACCACTTCCCTCCACTGCTGTCTTACTTGACCCTCTCTCCATCACCCTTCCTCTCCCTTCTTATTGGGGGGCGGCGGTGGCAGTGCCACCAGAACTAATTGCATAGGGAGCATCTCACAAGAGAGGCAGCCCATGGTTTGGGCTCAGCCCACTCAAGGGTCTTTGTAAGCCAAGGCTACACACCGAGAGCCAGTGTGGTGGTGTGGTTAGAGTGCTGGACTTGGACCTGGGAGACCAGGGTTCGAATCCCCACTCGCACAGAGCTCGCTGGGTGTGACCTTGGGGGCCAGTCACTGCCTCTCAGCCTAACCTACCTCACAGAGTTGTTGTGGGGTTTAAAGAGGATGGAGGCCACCCTGAGGTCCTTGGAGGAAAAAGGTGGGGGATGTAAATGCAAGAGAAATAAGTAAATAATGAGAGGTGGGGAAGAGCGAGCCAGGCAGGTGGGCAGTGGGGACTGTGTGGGTGGATGGAGGATGTAATTAACAGGAATTAGGAGGTGTGTGGGGGTGGGGAGTGCTGAGATGAAGCATAAACAGGGAGGTGAAAGAAGAAAGGGCAACGCATCCTTTCTTCAGCACCCAGGAGACTGGCTCAGATAAGTGGTCCATCCATCTCAGCATCCCGTCTCCAAGGGCAACCAACCCAAGATGATGCAGAAGAGGCCACTGGGACGTCCCAGAGAATGTCCCTTCAACCACCTATACAGTTTAAACTTCTGCTTTTGGTGTCTTTGGCCTTTAAATTTTCTTGTCTCCCTTTTGCTCTCTTCATTCCTCACACACAAAATCACACACAAGATTTGATGTCCTGGTGCTTTTTGTCCCTTCACATCTTCTGCTCTTTCCCTGTGGAATGAAGCCTTCCTCCTAACAGCCTGCGTAAACCAGCCTCTTCCCATCTTGAAGTGGTGCCTGCAAACCCATCTTTCTGAAACAGTGGTCTATAATACCTATATGGAGGAGAAGGGGAAGAAATGTCAATGGTGGGGTCAGAAGGCCGCTAAATACGAGAGGTCCTGCCTGTGACCTTTGTGCAAAGCCCAAATAAACACAAGTGCAATGAGCATTTGTTCGCAACAGCAGTTAGTGGCGACAACACAGTCTTTCTACCTTTGCTGAGCTCATTCAACACTTGCGGAAAAGAAAACCTTACCTCTCAAACAAATCCATTTGAACTTTTTTAGTATGTTGTTGCTCAGCAGCTTCCTTTGCAAATATTTTTGTTGTGAGTGATGAATCATGGCATCACAGAGTCTGAAGGGACCCGGAAGGATCATCTAGCCCAACTCTCTGCAATGCAGGAATATGCAGCTGTCCCTTATGGGGATCAAACCTACAACCTTGGCTCAATCAACACCGTGTGAGTGGGGCTTGACCAAGGTTTGCTTTTTGATAATTTTAGCCACCCTCGTGGACCTGGTACCATCCAGATATTTTGGACTACAGCTTTTGGCACCGGCTGGGGCTGATGGGATTTGTAGTCCAAAAGATCTGGAGGGTGCCAGGTTGGTGGGAAAACAATATACCGTATTTGTCGCTCTATAAGACGCACCAGGCCACAAGACGCACCTAGTTTTTGGAGGAGGAAAACAAGAAAAAAATTATTCTGAATCTCAGAAGCCAGAACAGCAAGAGGGATCGCTGTGCAGTGAAAGCAGCAACCCCTCTTGCTGTTCTGGCTTCTGTGATAGCTGTGCAGCCTGCATTCGCTCCATAAGACGCACACACACATTTCCCCTTACTTTTTAGGAGGGAAAAAGTGAGTCTTATAGAGCAAAAAATATGGTAATGGTTATCTGTGGGAACCCTGGCCCATCAAACTCATTCTCTCTTGGTGCTCTCTCTCTCTCTCTCTCTCTCTCTCTCTCTCTCTCTCTCTCTGTGTGTGTGTGTGTGTGTAGGGGGGCATTTTAGCAAACTGCTACTCCTGCCAGACGTTGCCTTTATAAGACAAGCAAGCTGAGAAGGCTAAATGACCCCCCCCAAAAAAAAAGATGTGGTTGGGTGTGCCCAAAACTGAGTTTTTTCCCTTTCCTTCCTCAGTTCAGACCAAGAGGTCTTTCAATCAAAACTTCAGATTGTTAGCGCACAAGAGCCAGGACTCAGATGCACACACAGGATCCAGCCCACGCAACAAATTCCCAGTGCGAAATGAAAACTAGAAATAGGAGTAGATAGGTGGGAAAGGGAAACAAACACAGAATTCTTTGTCCTTAAACGCAGCCTACCGAGATGTGTTTGGACCTTGCCAGCCTAGGCTATGCGCCTCAACATTTGTGCACCCCCTGCCGTTTCCATTCCTAACCTATGAAGACCTCCCCTCCCCATTCTTAGAGGAGACACAAATTACCCAAGGCTTAAATCTTAGAAGCAGGGTGTTTGCACCATTTCTGAAAGAAGGAGAGAGATTGGACCTCCATCCTGCCTGTAAGTCATACTGCTGGTTTTGGTAAATGGACAAGAATTGGTAGAACTGTCTTGAGACAGAGACACTTTGCATGTGCTCAGAGGCATGCTGGCCCAGGAAATAGCTTCTGGGGCAGAACCCTTTCTCGGATGTAAATATCAGACAGGAACAGTGCTGTTCTTGTGCATGCAGCTTCATGGGATACAAAGGCCTCCCAAAAGAGACTTGCCTACAATTGCACGGTTCGCCCAGGCGGTTTAAATGGTCCAAGGCTTAGTCTTATTTTTAATCATTGTGCTTGACTGCATTACATAGGAACATTGAAAGCTGCCTTAGACTGAGTAAGGCCACTGGGCCCATCTAGCTGAATACTGTCTACACTGGCTGGCAGTTGCTCTCCAGGCTTTTAGGCCAGAGTCTTCTCCTATCTGGAGAATGAACCTGGACCCTTCTGCATCCTACACCACCCTAAAACCCAGTAGGACAAATGTTTGAATGGATGGATGAAATCCGTGTTGTCACATTTTATTTGCGTATTTTGTGTTGTTTTTGTAAATGGGAGAAGGCAAACTTTTCCGTGGACGTAACTGCACCTTCATCCTGATGCCAATGTTGCAGCAACTTAGGTTTGCCTAGCAGTGGAACTGCAAGATCCAAGGGAGTACCCTTTGGAAAAGGGTACGAACCTGTGAATCACAGAATTGTAGAGTTGGAAGGGACCCCGAGGGTCATCTAGTCCAACCCCCTGAAATGCAGGAATCTCAGCTAAAGCATCCATGGCAGTCGGCCATCCAACCTCTGCTTAAAAACCTCCAAGGAAAGTCCAAACCTCCCGGGGGAGACCGTTCCACAGTCGAACAGCTCTTACTGTCAGAAGGTTTTTTCCGATGTTTAGTCAGAATCTCCTTTCTGGGGGGGGGAATCATCCTGTGTTGCATTCTAAATTGCAAGCTCCTTGGGGCAGGGACCTCCCTTCATCTGCTTTGCACAAGAAAGGTCCGTATCGTTAAAGCCATGGTTTTCCCAGTAGTGATGTATGGAAGTGAGAGCTGGACCATAAAGAAGGCTGATCGCCGAGGAATGGATGCTTTTGAATTATGGTGCTGGAGGAGACTCTTGAGAGTCCCATGGACTGCAAGAAGATCCAACCTCTCCATTCTTAAGGAAATCAGCCCTGAGTGCTCACTGGAAGGACAGATCCTGAAGCTGAGGCTCCAATACTTTGGCCACCTCGTGAGAAGAGAAGACTCCCTGGAAAAGACCCTGATGTTGGGAAAGATGGAGGGCACAAGGAGAAGGGGGCGACAGAGGACGAGATGGCTGGACAGTGTTCTTGAAGCTAGCAGCATGAGTTTGACCCAACTGCGGGAGGCAGTGGAAGACAGGAGTGCCTGGCGTGCTCTGGTCCAGGGGGTCACGAAGAGTCGGACACGACTAAACAACAACAACATCCCTTCCAATTCTACTATTCTTATGATCCTCTGGACAGACAGTCTGAACTGTGAGCATCGCTCTGCTCCTGCCGGACTGCGAGCCACAAAATCCAGCTACCCGGGCTGCCCAAATAGTCTCTGATCCACCTTCCTACCCTCTCAGAATGTAATCTCCCTCTCTGCATTTTGCTTTTGCTCTCCGATCATTCTCTGTGCCAAATGCCAGCGCTTTCTCATTCATCTTCCTTAACCAGTGCTACTGGCAAAAAACTCTGTGTCCTGTCCTTAGGTTTAATTTCACCCTCCCTTCTCCCCCTCCTCGATATTGCAGCTCTGATGGGAACTGCGGAGTTGGCGAAAAGCAACTTCTGTTCTCCCCCTCCTCCCCTCCTCTGAAGTGCGCAAATTGACTCACTTGCTAGATTTTGCGTCGCTGCAGAAACCCAAGTCTCCCTTGTGCCCTTGAAGGTCTCCTGGGTATATAGTCTCTCAAACTGTCTCTACTGCGTGCATACCTGGCAGTGCAGTCCTATATACGTCCACCCAAAAGTTTAGCCCCACTGGCTCTCAGGTAAATGGGTATTAGACTGCACCCGCAATGTTGCTTTCAGTTTTCTTTGCCCGTGCAATGAAATCTGAATTCATTTGCAGAGGAAGAAGAAGAGGAGGAGGAGTTTGGATTTGATATCCCTCTTTATCACTACCCTAAGGAGTCTCAAAGCGGCAAACATTCTCCTTTCCCTTCCTCCCCCACAACAAACACTCTGTGAGGTGAGTGGGGCTGAGAGACTTCAGAGAAGTGGGACTGGCCCAAGGTCACCCAGCAGCTGCATGTGGAGGAGCGGGGAAGCGAACACGGTTCACCAGATTACGAGTCCACGGCTCTTCACCACTACACCACACTGGTGATTCCTCTTAACTTGCAGTGGATTGGGGCTCTTGGAAGCCCTTCTGCTTTCATCCAGCATCTCAGCTGTTTCCCAAGAGGTGCTCCAAGGAAGCCCCCAACTCCCTGGTTCCATAAATTTAAGGCTTTCCCCAAAGCATCCTGGGAAATGTAGTTTGTTAAAGGGTGCTGGGAATTACAGCCCTGTGACTGTTAAACCATAGCTCCCACTACCTATCTATCTGTATCTATCTATCCAGTGGTACCTCAGAAGTCAAACGGAATCCGTTCCGGAAGTCCATTCGACTTCCAAAATGTTCAGAAACCAAAGCACGGCTTCTAATTGGTTGCAGGAACCTCCTGCAGCCAATCGGAAGCCCCACCAGATGTTCAGCTTCCAAAGAACGTTCGCAAACCGGAACACTCACTTCTGGGTTTGCGGCATTCAGGAGTCGAAACATTTGACACGCAAGGCGTTTGGGATCCAAGGTATGACTGTATTGGTGAGGGGGACCTTATTCTTGAGATGTGTGGCACTTATGCTACAATCCCAGAGGATCTCTTTCAGCATTTTGTGTGTGTGTGTGTCTTCTAAAAGTCAGATAGTTGTTTATTTCCTTGACATCTTATGGGAGGGCATTCCACAGGGCGGGCGCCACTACCGAGAAGGCCCTCTGCCTGGTTCTCTGTAGCTTCATTTCTTGCAGCGAGGGAACTGCCAAAAGGTCTTTGGAACTGGACCCCAGTGTCCAGGCTGAATGATGGCGGTGGAGACGCTCTTTCAGGTATACCGGACTTTTGAGGCTGTTTAGGGACGCGGGTGGCGCTGTGGGTTAAACCACAGAGCCTAGGACTTGCCGATCAGAAGGTCGGCGGTTCGAATCCCCACGACGGGGTGAGTTCCGTTGCTTGGTCCCAGCTCCTGCCAACCTAGCAATTCGAAAGCACATCGAAGTACAGGTAGATTAATAGGTACCGCTTCAGCGGGAAGGTAAATGGTGTTTCCGTGCGCTGCTCTAGTTCACCAGAAGCGGCTTAGTCATGCTGGCCACATGACCTGGGAGCTGTACGCCGGCTCCCTCGGCCAATAAAGCGAGATGAGCGCCACAACCCCAGAGTCGGCCACGACTGGATCTAATGGTCAGGGGTCCCTTTACCTTTACCTTTTAGGGCTTTAAAGGTCAGCACCAACACTTTGAATAGTGCTCGGAAACTGGGAGCCAACGTAGATACTTTAGGACCTGTGTTATGTGGTCACAGTGGCCGTTCACAGTCTCCCTTAATATCTCCCTCTGCTCTCCTCTCCTTCCGTCCCACCAGGATCCTGCTGACAGTGGTGGTGATCTTCCGCATCCTGATTGTGGCCATCGTGGGAGAGACGGTTTACGAGGACGAGCAGACCATGTTCATGTGCAATACCCTGCAGCCCGGGTGCAACCAGGCCTGCTACGACAAGGCCTTCCCCATCTCCCACATCCGCTACTGGGTGTTCCAGATCATCCTGGTCTGCACGCCCAGCCTCTGCTTCATCACCTACTCAGTCCACCAGTCGGCCAAGCAGAGGGACCGCCGCTACTCCTTCCTCTACCCGCTGCTGGAGAAGGACGGCCGGAAGGTGAAGAACGTCAACGGCATCCTGGTGCAGAACCCAGACGGCTCCTCCAAGGAGGAACCCGACTGCCTGGAGGTGAAGGAGATCCCCAGCGCCCCCATGCGGCCCCCCAAGAGCTCCAAGGTCAAGCGACAGGAGGGCATCTCCCGCTTCTACATCATCCAGGTCAGTCAGGGCGCTAGAGGGCCCCCCTTTGCTTGCTGCATGCCCAACCCCTCCCTAAGATGGGGGGGGCCCAGGGACTCGCTCAACAGCTCACGAAAAGGCCGAGAGGGTGCAGGGAGGAGCCATGCATGAGCCCGTCGCGTGGTGCGGCAGCAAGTGAGGCCAATGCTATTCTAGGTTGTTGCATCATAGCCTCGCACAATCCAGCAAAATGTGCCCAGCCATCTATCCCCTTAGCTGGCAGGCAGAATTCTGTGTGCCAACCCATGCCCCCTGTGCCAGTCTAGTGCAATAGCAGAGACGGCCCCCAGCATTAAAACAATATTCACCTGTCAAGGTGTGCGTAGGCCTGGAGAGGGGCACCGTCTTGTCCTTTGCCTCAGGCTGGCTCTAGATGTCATCCGTCGGGCACGACCCGCCAGGGTAGCTCAGTTGGTTAGAGCGTGGTGCCGATAACTCCAAGGTCGCGGGTTCGATCCGCCTAAGGGACAGCGTTGCAGCGGGTTGGACTGGATGATCTTTGGGGTCCCTTCCAACTCAATGATTCTACGATCACTGCTTTGAGGTGCATTCATTCCCCCCACTCCCGGCCGGGTGTTGCGTGGCTGTAGTGCAGCTTTCACCAACCCGGCGCCCTCGTTGGAGGTACACCGTGCTGACGGGACCTCATGGGCATTGTAGTTCAAGGGCCCCCACCCGCTTGGCAAAGACTGGAACATTCTGGCAGACAGAACGACATCGGAGGAGCCTGTGTTAGCTGGTCCCGGGGCTAACCGAGAGGCGAGGTCCAAGTCCAGTCTGAGGTCAATGGTGCGGTATGGAGGCTGTCCGTCAAAGATGTAGCTGGGTCCAAGGCGGGGAGTCGGGTGAGGTCAGGAACTCTGGCATAAGAGCAGGACAGGGTGCAGGCAGGAACAGGCTACCAACAATGTTGCTCCCGCAACCTAGGACTAGGCTGGCTGGCTTTTATCTGCCCCGAGGCATAGGGCGGCCCCGATCCTCTGGTGACTTGCCTCTCCTGGCCTCGAGGTGAGCACTCCTCCTGCGGGAACTTAGTTCCCTCCGCCTCTCTGCCCTGAGCCTCTGCAGCTCAGGAGAAGCTGGAGGGTTACCGGACCCGGAGGCAACCTCAGCTTCCTCTGACGGGGCTGAGAGTGGAGCACCTGCAGGCAATGGGTCCTCCATCACCTCAGGAGCCAGAGCAGACTCAGCTGGTGCCTTCACCTGAGGATCCAGCACAGGTGAGGACCCTTCAGGCTCAAGCCCCAGCCCCGGCTCAGCTGGTTCTGGAGGCAGGGACTCCTGTGCAGGCTGGGATTCCTCAGGTTCAGCATCTAAGTCCGAATCCCAGGCCATCACACTGTGGCCTCTTTGGTCCAGCGTCCTGTTCTTGCAGTGACCAGCCAGATGCAACAGCAGCTTTCCCCTCCGGTGGTTCCCAACTGTTCAGAGACATTGCCGCCTCCAGCTACGAGGGCAGAACTGGGGGCCACTGGTAGCCCTCTCCTCCATTAATTTGTCTGGTCCTCTTTTGGAGCCATCCGGGTTGGTGGCCATCGCTGCCTCTGGTGGCAATGAGTTCCATAGTTTAACTATGCTCCACATGAAGAAGTACTTTCTGATGGTAGAACTGCCTGACGGTTAGAGCCGTTTGACAGTGGAACAGACACCCTCGGAAGGTGGCAGACTCGGCTTTGCGTAGGTTTCTAAACAGAGGCTGGCGGCTATCCATTAGGGAATATTTAGCTGCCATTCCCGCATTTCAGGGGGTGGGACTAGATGACCCTGGTCTTTCCTAGCAGCTCTACAATTCTATGAGAAGACAGGCTTTGAGGCATGTGGGCAAACTGCCTGGCTCCAACTTTAGGCGGAAGATAATAGTAATTTGGGACGCGGGTGGCGCTGTGGGTTAAACCACAGAGCCTAGGACTTGCCGATCAGAAGGTCGGCGGTTCGAATCCCCGTGACAGGGTGAGCTCCCGTTGCTCGGTCCCTGCTCCTGCCCACCTAGCAGTTCAAAAGCACGTCAAAGTGCAAGTAGATAAATAGGTACCGCTCCGGCGGAAAGGTAAACGGCATTTCCGTGTGCTGCTCTGGTTCACCAGAAGCGACTTAGTCATGCTGGCCACATGACCCGGAAGCTGTACGCCGGCTCCCTCGGCCAGTAAAGCGAGATGAGCGCCGCAACCCCAGAGTCGGTCATGACTGGACCTAATGGTCAGGGGTCCCTTTACCTTTAATAGTAATTTAATAATGGTAATATTTATACCCTGCCCATCTGGCTGGGTGTGATGAGCAGGGTTTCTAATTGTCCAAGGGTGAGCCAGGGATTGGGGAACAAAGTGGTTTCCCCCCTTCCTTGGAAACAGCAGAAATATATATAGCCTTATGCAAAAGGAACAAGGAGATAACTTTGGCAGTCGGGTTGCAGAATGCAGATCCTTTTCCTAAGCGCAGAGAATGTGCAGCCCGGTCTCTAAGCGTCGTCCTGATCTTCCTTCCCAGCAGCCTACGCGAGAGAAAAGGCCACGAGGGTCTGGCGGCAACACGGTGACCATCTGTTTTATTTATAGATGCGCGGGGCGAGAACGAGTGTAGAAGGGAGGCAGCGTTGGCAGCAGGCAGGAGTGGCGCGGAGGCTTCAGGCTGTGCCAGCACCACCTGGAGAAATCCAACCATCTCTGAGCACCACAAGACACTTCTTCCATGTGTCTTTCCAGTGCCCCAGACAGCTCCCATGCTGTCCGGCTCTGGTGGGGCCTGTCAATGACCAGTTCGGATTCTCTGGGGTGGGGGTGGGGGTGGGGTCTTGTTAGCAGCAAGGATAGAGCTGAGAGTAGGCACTCACACCGCATGATTCAGGCGGATTCGGCCAGGGTACGGATTCACCCTGCAGCCCAGCTGGGTGGAAGCAGCCTCAAATCTTTGTTCCCTGCCCAGCAGGGAACGTTCCAGTGCAGTGATTCCCAAGCTTTTTTTGTGGAGGGGGGCCCCTGCCACCCGCTTGGTTCCATAACCTCATCTCCCATGCCCCCTGCCCTATAAAAAGCACCATTCATGATAGCGGTGTGCACAACTCGCTAAGGAAGACAACAATGCAATGAAATTCAAAATGACAACAGTCAGTTGTCCATTTCCAATTAGATTTAGTCTAATTAACCAACTCAACAAAACTGATGAACTTGATGCGGTGATGCCAGCTTTTCATACTGGGATTGTAATTTACCGGCCTCGGTCCTGTATACCTGAAGGAGCGTCTCCATCCCCATCGTTCGGCCCGGACACGGAGATCCAGAGCCGAGGGCCTTCTGACAATTCCCTCATTGCGAGAAGTGAGGTTACAGGGAACCAGGCAGAGGGCCTTCTCGGTAGTGGTGCCCGCCCTGTGGAACACCCTCCCTTCACATGTGAAGGAAATAAGTAGCTATCCTATTTTTAAAAGACATCTGAAGGCAGCCCTGTTTAGGGAAGTTTAAAATATTTAATGCTGTATTGTTTTAGCACTCGATTGGGAGCCACCCAGAGTGGCTGGGGAAACGCAGCCAGATGGGTGGGGTATAAATAATAAATAAATAAATAATAATAATAATAATAATAATTATTATTATTATTAGCGTCCCGCAAGTGCCTTCCCTGCTGGGAGCAAGAAAGGTGACGCAGCGCCCCCTCCTGTCTTTGAAATTGGGGTCCAAAAACCAGAGTTTCTCAAACTTGGGTCTCCTGCTGTTTTTGGACTATAATTCCCATAATCCCCACCTAGCAGGACCAGAGGTCAAGGATGATGGGAACCATAGTTCGAAAACAGGAGGACACCCCAATTTTGAGAAACTCTAGTTTTAAAAGTAAATATTAGCCCTGCCCCATATTGATTTGGGGCTGGATCTGGGTGGGGCGTCCTCTGGGTTTGGGGCAGGTGTGTGGGGAGAGGGTCCCCCCACTGCACACAGCCAGGCAGATATATTAAAAGCAGGCAGCGGAGAAGACCAAGTCGAAGTCAGAAGCGGAAAACAGGAACGTTGCAGGACCAAGGTCAGCTCCAGCTGAAGGTGCTGGTTCATTCAATAATCCAAATTCTGCTGCTGGGCTTAAAAGGATATCTTTTTTCGTTTTAGGGCCCTGGGCCCCCAACCCTGCTCCGTGCCCTCTAGGGCTCTGTTTCTCAAACTCAGATCTCCAGTTGTTGTTGAGCTACAACCCCCATCATCCAACAGACGGTTCACAACCGAGCCTGGGACCCTAGGTGTACCAATTCCACCTGGTGACACCTGTATGCGGTTCAGGCCTCCTAAATTTCATTGGGGCCGAGGTGTGCCCTTGAATGCCCCCCTCCTTGCATGAAGCTGTTGGGCTCAATCCTCCTCAGACTAGGGTTTGCCTGAACTTTTGGGGGAAGCAGCATGGAAGATCTGTTCTCTGATTTAGGCTTCTGCGTCGCTTCCCTTCCAGCTCGCAGCTACCCAACTTGCCTGACTTGCTTTTTCTCCCTCCCTCGTTCCGCCTCTCACTCTTTATTGACTGCAGTTTGAACAAAGGAGCTAACACCTTCCACCAAACATGAGGCAGCAGATGAGTGCAAAAAAGTAAAAAGCCAAAGAATGGGGACCTGGCAGCAATTGAGGAACAATATTGCTGACTGATGATGCAAATACAGATGGGTAGCCGTGTTTGGTCTGCCATAGTCAAAACAAAAAAAATTCCTTCCAGTAGCACCTTAAAGACCAACTAAGTTAGTTCTTGGTATGAGCTTTCGTGTGCATGCACACTTCTTCAGATACACTGAAACAGAAGTTGCCAGATCCTTCTATATAGTGAGAAGGTGGGGAGGGGTATTACTCAGAAGGGTGGTGGGAATGGGTGATTGGCAGATAGCTGTGATGAGCCTGTTGACGACTCTTAACGACTGCAATAGGTCTTACAGGAAAAAGCAAGGGGTGAGAAGGTGAAAAATGGCTTTGTCATGTATAATGAGATAAGAATCCAATGTCTTTGTTCAGACCAGGTCTCTCCATGGTTTTAAGTTTGGTAATGAGTTGCAATTCAGCAGCTTCTCTTTCCAGTCTATTTCTGAAATTCCTTTGTAGTAAAACAGCTACTTTGAGATCTTGTATAGAATGTCCTGGGAGATTGAAGTGTTCTCCTACTGGTTTCTCTGTCTTGTGATTCTTGATGTCAGATTTATGTCCGTTTATTCTTTGGCGTAAGGTTTGGCCTGTTTGTCCAATATAGAGAGCTGAAGTCATCAACAGGCTCACCACAGCTATCTGCCAATCACCCATTCCCACCATCCTTCTGAGTAATACCCCTCCCCACCTTCTCACTATATAGAAGGATCTGGCAACTTCTGTTTCAGTGTATCTGAAGAAGTGTGCATGCACACGAAAGCTCATACCAAGAACTAACTTAGTTGGTCTTTAAGGTGCTACTGGAAGGAAAATTTTTTTTGTGATGATGCAAAGTTAGCACGCTGCTGGAAGCCAAGCCCTTGCAGGTCTTTACTGGGGGAGCAGCCTTGCCTTGTCACTCTCGCATAGAGAGACATTTGGTATGGAAAATTCAAGAAGTGGTGCCTATTTGGGTAGGGAAGGGTTCTCCAGGTCTAGCTAACTACTAAGCTGAAGAGCCAAGGGGTCCATGGTTGCTCCTTGGCTCTCAGCACATATAGATCCCAAGGCTGATCTCTCCCAAGGGGACCTGGAGGAGACAGAAAGCTAAGATCGCAAGAAAGGTCAGCACAGATACCACGGGGGAAGTTTGGAGGTTCCTTACTCTGTCCGCTTTGACCCCCTGCTGTTTTGCATCGAGCAAATACAGTGGTACCTCGGGTTACATACGCTTCAGGTTACACACTCCGCTAACCCAGAAATAGTGCTTCAGGTTAAGAACTTTGCTTCAGGATGAGAACAGAAATCGTGCTCCGGAGGCGCGGCGGCAGCAGGAGGCCCCATTAGCTAAAGTGGTGCTTCAGGTTAGGAACAGTTTCAGGTTGAGAACGGACCTCCGGAACGAATTAAGTACTTAACCGGAGGTACCACTGTACAAGCCACTGAGTAACAGTTAACAAAAAAATGATTAACAAAAAAATGAGTGTGAGGATAATCGCCAAAGGGCCTACAGTGGTACCTCGGGTTACATACGCTTCAGGTTACAGACTCCGCTAACCCAGAAATATTACCTCGGGTTAAAAACTTTGCTTCAGGATGAGAACAGAAATCGTGCAGCAGCGGCGCGGCGGCAGCAGCAGGAGATCCCATTAGCTAAAGTGGTGCTTCAGGTTAAGAACGGACCTCTGGAACAAATTAAGTACTGGTACTTAACCCGAGGTACCACTGTATAGAGGAAAGGGAACCTGTGGCTCCCCAGATGTTGCTGGGCCTCCGGTTCCCATCATCCTCTGCCAGGGCAACCAGTGGTGAGGGATGATGGGAGTTGTAGTTCAGTAGCACCTGGAAGTAGAGGCCGCTCTCTGCCAACCCCTGACCCTGTTCCCCTCCCGCTGCTTTAGGTGGTTTTCCGCAATGCCTTGGAGATTGGCTTCCTGGCGGGACAGTACTTCTTGTACGGCTTCAACGTGCCGGCCATTTTCGAGTGCGACCGCTACCCGTGCGTCAAGGAGGTGGAGTGCTACGTGTCGCGGCCCACGGAGAAGACCGTCTTCCTCGTCTTCATGTTCGCCGTGAGCGGGATCTGCGTCCTCCTCAACCTGGCCGAGCTCAACCACCTCGGCTGGCGCAAGATCAAGACCGCCATCCGAGGGGTGCAGGCCAGGCGGAAATCCATCTGCGAGGTGCGGAAGAAGGACCTCTCCTCGCTGGCCCAAGTGCCTACGCTCGGACGGACGCAGTCGAGCGAGTCCGCCTACGTCTGAGCGCTCCCGATCCGGTTCGGTTGGGGCGGGGATCGGGGCCTCGGCGGGCCTGACGTCGCCAACGCAGCAAGGAGAAAACGCCACCTGCTGGCCTGACCACAATACCTCCCAGGTTAACCATGCAATATTCAGTGGGTGCTTTCAAAAACAAAACACCCTCCTCGCTTTCAGAGGACGGGGCCTCACGTTCGCTTTAAGGGCTGATTGGGGAAACCCAGCCCCTCAGGAGCCATGGGGGGGGGGGGGAGGGAAACGGAGGAAGAGGCTTGGTGCCCCTTCCTCCTATGCGCCAGCTCCCGTCGAATATTTTCTCTTCTCTACACTTAACTAATGGTGCAAGCAAAATGGTGCGGTTTGCGGAAACTTGTGCCTACGACTCCTTTTTACGGACAGGTGATGAAAACGCATGAATCGGCGGTGGGTGGGGGAGGCTTTGGGCGGGGGGGAACGTTGCTTGCGTGCGTGTATTTTTTAAAGGAAGCAGCAACAGAAAGACAGAGAGGGGGCTTTTCTCTCATGCACGACCGGATCTCTCTCTCTCTCATCTGCCGTGATGTAAATAGTGAACGAGCAAATGTGATTTTATATAAAAAAGATAAGGTATGCAATAAAAAGAACCCCATTTTCTTCATTTGTTTTTCCTGGCAGCCTCTCTGTTGGTGCTGGGGGGAATCGGTGGCGATGGTGTTGGGAGGATGGAAGGGTCAGGTTGATGTCTGTGCGTGCTCCATAAATCCCAAGGGTATGTGGAGAAGACCAGATCACCATTCTGTCCCAGCTGCGGCGTGTGGGGCGGCCCCGCAGTTTGGTTTGTTTTTCAACTGACCTTCTTCCGGGCTTTCAAGAGCAGTCGGGCATGTGGAAGCAAAGCACAGTGGTACCTTGGGTTACATACGCTTCAGGTTACAGACGCTTCAGGTTACAGACTCTGCTAACCCAGAAATAGTACCTCAGGTTACTAATAATAATAATAATTTTTATTTATACCCTGCCCTCCCCAGCCAAGGCCAGGCTCAGGGCAGCTAACAAGCAATAATAAAAACAAGTTGAATGAATACAACTTAAAAACAAGATTAAAATACAACATTAAAATAGTGAAACATTAAAATGCAGCCTCATCACAGGAGGAGAAAGGAAAAAGGAAAAAGAAAGAGGGGGAGGGAATCAAATTGACTCCAAGCCAAAGGCCAGGCAGAACAACTCTGTCTTATAGGCCCTGCGAAAAGAAATCAGATCCTGCAGGGCCCTGGTCTCATGAGACAAAGCGTTCCACCAGGCCGGGGCCAGTGTTGAAAAGGCCCTGGCTCTGGTTGAAGCTAATCTAACTTCCTTAGGGCCCGGGACCACTAGGGTGTTGCTATTTATGGACCTTGAGGCTCTCCATGGGGCATACTTTGCTTCAGGATAAGAACAGAAATTGGGCTCCAGCGGCGCGGCAACAGCGGGAGGCCCCATTAGCTAAAGTGGTGCTTCAGGTTAAGAACAGTTTCAGGTTAAGAACGGACCTCCGGAACGAATTAAGTACTTAACCCAAGGTACCACTGTAGATGCAAGTCTCCCTTCACTGTCTCATCACGAGAAATGAATTTGCACTGGCTTGATTTCTGCAGGTCAGGCTGCTGTTAAAACGGAGTTGGAAAAAGCCTGCTCAAAACAGCAGCGGACGCCTTGTCCTGGCCACTGCCAACTCCTGCCTCCATCACTCTGACTGTGGGCACCTCTGGAGCATCTCTCCCAAGGCCACCCTGCTGTGGACGGCAGTGGTGTGGGGGTGGTGGTTTTGTCTCTGACTGCCTGGGCCCAAGACGCAGAGCAAAGCGAGGCTCCCCCCTCTCCTTCCCCGCACATGTCCACAGACCCCTCCCAGCCCGGTCAGCTGCAGCGGCCTCTCATCCCTTAATCTGCTCTCTAATAGGTCTAAAGCAGAGAAGGGGGTTAACTGGGCACCATCTGGCTTAGCCTGAGCAAAGGCCCAAGATCTCGTGGTGCAAAAGAGGCCTGCGAGGCGATCGGGGAGAACCAGAGTCCCTTCCTGCCCCACAGGCTACGGGGAGGACGGATGTTGCGTTTCCTGAGTCCCCCTCCTGCTTCCCAAGAGCTAGGGGAAAGACGGAACCGGACCCAGTGTCCTCCTCTTCGTTTACTAATCCCCTCCTACCGCCGGCCTCCCGTTGTCCCCATCCCCTAAGCGGCTCTTGCGCAGCCCCTCCGCCCAGACCCCCCTCTGCCCCCTGCGGTGCACTTAGAGAGCCTAAACCCCATCTAAGCCTCTTTGGTGTCCCAACCAGATGAGCAAAGGAGTTCAGGCAAAAAAGAGAGAGAGACACAAGGAGCTTACTAGAGTGGAGAACTGGATGTCTCCGTCTGCCCGAGGTGGGTCACAGCGTTGAAATTGGGGGTGACTCTCAGGCACAACCCATGTTTGCCCTTTGCTCCTGAAACTCCCTCTCCGATGTGAAGGCACAGAGTCAGGGTATCTCGCTCAGGACTGCCAGAACGGATGCCAGGGTTTCAGGCAAGGAGTCTCTCTACCTGGGGATGCTGAGGAATGCCTCTCAGATCTCCTGCCTGCAAAATGTTGAACTAGTGTCCTTCCCTCTGAGGTGGTTATATATAATAGAGCATCTTTCCCTGCCTTCTGCCCTCCCCCCTCCGCTTTAATCCCAACCTGGAGCAGGGAATCTGCTCACAGGATTTGAAAAAACACACACCGTATTTTTTGCTCAATAATACCGTATTTTTTGCTCAATAATACCGTATTTTTTGCTCTATAAGACTCACTTTTTCCCTCCAAAAAGTAAGGGGAAATGTGTGTGTGTGTTATGGAGTGAATGCAGGCTGCGCAGCTATCCCAGAAGCCAGAACAGCAAGAGGGATTGCTGCTTTCACTGCGCAGCGATCCCTCTTGCTGTTCTGGCTTCTGAGATTCAGAATATTTTTTTCCTTGTTTTCCTCCTCCAAAAACTAGGTGCGCCTTGTGGTCTGGTGCGTCTTATAGAGCGAAAAATACGATAAATCTGACCAGTTGTTCCTTTGCTGTATCTGCCGCACTTGCTCAGCTGACATCCTTAGTCCTTTCCAGATCTCTTCCAGCTGTTCTCTTCTCTCTCGCCTGCTCTCTCCAGTGGTTGGGACATTGATGGCAGGACTAACCTTAGGTAAGGTCACAAGAGAGACCTCATGAGTCGGTGCTCCCTAAGCAAATCACCAAAGCATTCACGAGAGGGGGGACAGAAAGAGGGTCCCTGCAGCTGTGGGGGGATTGGCATGGGAGCAGAGAATCACAGGGCTCCAGGAATTGCCTCTCCTGCACATCTGCCAGGGCAGCCTTAGCCCTCTCTTGCCTCTGGCCACCCTCGTCTGTGCAGGCTTTCAACTGAGTCGAATGGAGGTGGCCAGAGGAGCAGACGCCTTGCCTTCTCCCTGCCCCTTGCCTGCACATTTGCACTGGGAATGAGGTGAGATCTCATTCATATGTATGTCTCTATTAATAGTGCCCTGTGCCTGGCGGGGCTCTAACAGCTGCCAACGTGTCATCCCTGCTTTGCCGCCGATCCTCCTCCCATTCACTAGGAAGATAAGAGAGGAAGAAAAAGTGGTTCCCTGGTTAGAGACAGGGGAAGGAGACAGGTGTGGAGAGGGCAGAGGGATGCCAACTTTTTGAAGCAGCCCTGGGCCTGTAAACAGCCACCTTGTGTGCGGAAATCAAAGGCTGGTGGCGAGGAAGCATCGCCTGAAGCTGGGAAAAGCTTTAGCAGCTAGTTTAATTTCTCTTTGTCAGGCTGCTGCTGCTCAAGGCACAAGAACAGAGCCGGTTAGGAAGCTGGGCTACCATCTGAGGAGCCCAGCACTTTTGTACCCCGTTCCACAAAACAATGGGGAGCAAGGAAGATGAGAGCTGGGACCACCAGGGTCACTTTTGACGCAGCAGGGAAGATGCAAGAACCTGTGGCCCACCCAATGATGTTGGGCTCTGGCTCTGGGTAGCATGTCTCCCCAAGCATCTTAATGCTTGCAGAAAAGAGAGGAAGAGGCTGTATCCTGAAGCCCCGTGGAAAGGCAATGCCAGCTGCAGAGACTTCTTCACTGGTGGTTTTCAACTGGTCAAAACTCTTCCTCTCAGCCCCCTAATGCATATTAGGTAAAGGTAAAGGGACCCCTGACCATTAGGTCCAGTCGCAGACGACTCTGGGGTTGCGGCGCTCATCTCGCTTTACTGGCTGAGGGAGCCGGCGTACAGCTTCCGGGTCATGTGGCCACCATGACTAAGCCGCTTCCGGCAAACCAGAGCAGCACACGGAAACTCCGTTCACCTTCCCGCTGGAGCAGTACCTATTTATCTACTTGCACTTTTGACGTGCTTTCGAACTGCTAGGTTGGCAGGAGCTGGGACCGAGCAACGGGAGCTCACCCCGTCACGGGGATTCGAACCGCCGACCTTCTGATCGGCAAGTCCTAGGCTCTGTGGTTTAACCCACGTTATTTAATCCTAAAACAGAAAATTGCGGAGAAATCTAGACCGAGCTACCTTATCGTTCCTGCTAAATCTGTATCACTGAAAGAGTGGCTTGTGAATCTTATCACAATAATGCTTCCTAGTTCTGACACAAGCGCAGTGCTCCGGAGTCTTAGCAAACATATGCTAAGTTTTGATTCCACCTCACCCACCCTAGAACCAACATTCGCAGCTATGGTGCACCTTCCAAATTTTTCTACCCAGCTACTAAGGGCACATGAAAGCCATCTGCTACCACAGCTGGTCACCCTGAAGCCTAGTTTTCAGTAGTTAAAAAATGACCGGGTTGAATTGCTTCAGAGTGAAGCTACAGATCCTCCATACCAAAATAGAAATCCCTGCGCACAGGCAACTAGCATGCCTGGAAGAGTTCTAGGTCAGCTTTCTCCATGGCATGCTAGCTTTCTATATGCAGGGGTATGCCTATTTATATGGAAGATCGTTCCATTATGGGAGCCCTCCAAGCCTGAACTGGCAGAGTCTAGACACAGGTTTCACACCTCAGGAACCTACTGGATTCAGAACATACAAGCTGTGCTTGTGGTTTGGTCTCCACCTAGTTCAAGGCTTCCCAAACCTGGGTCTCTGGCTGTTTTTGGACTACAATTCCCATCACCCCTGACCGCTGGGTCCTGCTAGCTAGGGATGATGGGAGTTGTAGTCCAACACCACCGGGAGACCCAAATTTGGGAAACCCTGACCTAGTTCAAAGATGGAGAACTTGCAGCCATCTAGAGAATTGCTTGACTACAACTCCTATCGTCCCTCACATAAGACGAGTCCGTTGGCTATGGCCAGTGGTCCATCTCGCCCAGCCAGATGTGTGTGGGAAACCTGAGCTCTTTCCCCTCCTGCATTTCCCCACAACTGGCGTTCAGAAGCGTCGCTGCCTCCCAACAGCCAACAGGGCGAGAAGCCTTGGTTTATCCTGGCTGGGGAAGACAAGAGGGCTACCCCATCCTTGACCTGGGAAAAGAGGCGCTGGGATGGGAGATGGATGCATCGGTACCCCACTCCCGTGTACTGCCATTTCCCCACTCCTGGGGCACGGGAGCTGGGTGGGGTTGGATGCTATTCTTAGCTGGGCTTTGTTGCTATTTTTACTCCCAGATGCT